CCTTTCTGTTGTTTCAATACACATATTAGTTAGTGAAACACAACCGTTTTATCAACTATATATTTATATTTGATCATTCCGTTTCTTGGATACTTATACTAGTTCCATTCAATTCCATCTGATATCAAAAGGGTAAAAGCACCCACAACAATTTGAGTATTATATAAATATCAATGAAATCATGTAACATCCCACCCACAAAAGGTACTGCTATGTATTAAGTATATCTCCGTGTTTCATGGTTTTATCCGCCATTCAACCCCATGAGCAACTCGATGAAACCCCACTATAGTATTCCCAAGAGATAGAAACGTGTTTCGATAGATTGGATAGATGATAATTACCTCGCATTCGGGTTTCCATTTTTTCCATCTTTGTAGGGCTTGCTAAAAACCCTATCCGCCCCAGGCACCCAATAAAAAAAACATGTGGCATAGATCCCATCCAAGCGTCGTTGGTTGGATCGCTCCACAACAGGTCCTGCGCCACATCACCCAGCATCGGCGCGAAGCGATCCACCTGCTGGACGTCGCTCAGGCGCACAGCGCGGCTCCTGAGCCCCGGCCCACGCACCAACAAAAGGGGCAAATATGGGGATCGGCAACGGTGTCAAACCGTGAAAAGTGCTACGTTTATAGGGAATTGAGGGAATCGATGGGAATAGTTCATGGGATAAGACTAAAAGGGATATACATTGGATATACTTTCTATGGCTAATTGTCATTCAAGGGGGATACTAATCTGTTAAATGTGAAAACAAGTGAGATTTCACCAACTCAATAGTTCTTGTATTGATGTGCAGTAGTTAAAATAGCCGAAGGAAGTTTAGAAGGCTCGCTAAAGCGGCGGGTGCGGAGCCATGTGGCCAGATGAGAGATGAAAAATCACGCCGTTGTGGCGCGAAGCAAGTTTGCAAGTGAAAAAGCTAAAAGCACCTCACATTCGGATCACTTTTGGAAGTTGAGCTGTCGAAAAAGTGCACCCCGTTGTGGCGCCGCAAAGCACATGTCCATGTACAAAACACACCATGCTCGGAGCACTTTTGGAAGTTGAGATGTCGAAAAAGTGCACGCCGTTGTGGCTTGAAGCACATTTCCAAGTCAAAATGTACAAAGCACCACATGCTCGGAGCACTTTTGGAAGTTGAGATGTCGAAAAGTGCACGCCATTGTGGCGCGAAGCACATTTCCAAGTCAACATGTACAAAGCACACCATGCTCGGAGCACTTTTGGAAGTTGAGATGTCGAAAAAGTACACGCCGTTGTGGCGCGAAGCACATGTCCAAGTCAACATGTACAAAGACACCAACTTCGGAGCACTTTTGGAAGTTGAGATGTCGAAAAAGTGCACGCCGTTGTGGCCCGAAGCACATTTCCAAGTCAAAAGTGGGAAAAAAGCTGACGGGTACGGAGCACTTTTGGACGTTCACATGTTGTTTCGCGTGGCCGGCGCAAGGGATTGTGCACCTTGTCAAAAGTAAGCAAAATTTGAGGGTTTTGTAGCAGTTTCAACTACAACCAACACGACACTCCACTACACTACAGCTACAACTGCAACCGCAACTACACTGTATCACACTACACTACGCTACACTAATTTCATCACACTACACTACACTACTATAACTACAACTACTACGACTACAACTACAACTACATTACATAACACTACACTATGCTAATTACACTACACTACACTACACTTCACTACGCTACACTCAACTACACTACACTACACTGCAACTACAACTACACTACACTACGCTACCTAAATTACACTACACTAATTAAATTACGCTGCGCTATGCCATGACTACAACTACACTACACTAGAACTACAACTACGACTACAACTACGACTGCAGCTACACTACATTACTCTACACTCAGCACATTTCACTACTACACTAATCACTTTACGCTGTGCTACACAAAATTACACCACACTAGACTAGAATAGACTAGACTACACTACAGCACACTACACTACGCTACACTACACTACATTACATTGCACTACGCTCATTACACCACACCAAAACCACAACTGCAACTGCAACACACTAACTACACTACACTACAACTACAACTCCACTACACTACAACTACAGCTACAGCTGCGCTACACCACACTACATCTAACAGTTGTGGGTGAGGTGACCACTGCAACCACTGCAACCACTCCAAAAAACACAACTCCAACCACCTTTCGGTCCATCAGTGGATCCATGCATCACGACAACTCACCTCTGATATAGTGTCCTATCTTTGAAACTTCCGCCGCCGCCTTGTGCGGTACTACTGGTATGAATATGGATGAAACATGGCTGGGAAACACCCCAACTAAATGGAGGTTGATAGCTGAGAAAATCGTCGAAGTAAACGGTGAATTTTCCAGCAAGCCATGTTTGATTGCAAGAGGGTAAGAAAGGTTAGTCCGTGGGTTAATATCTTAGTTGTAAGTTGGATAAGTAGGGTTGGTCCAGTTATAACTGGGGTGATTCTAGCCACTTGCTGGCTGCACCTCCAAATATCAACAGATTACATTGGACTTGCTTCAGATGGATCCCAAAACGAAAACGTATTTAATATATATATATATATAGAAATGACAAAACTTGTACATATACATATTATATGTATAACGATTCCCCAAATGGTGGAGAAATCAGTATGGTGCCCACCAACTATAAGTTGTATCAAACACACTTCCAATTATACTATGCGAGTAATTATAGATAGATCTACCATTAACCATAGTAAGCCTTGTTGCAAACTAACTTATAGGGCCCTGCATTGTAACCACGGTTTCGAAGAGGGGCTGAGGTTCGCAAGCAACAAAGACGATAAACACAAAATCCGAAAAAGAGACATGTAAACATGCAAAACCCTGTATTCTTTGGTCGTACTCTACACTTGGGCATCAAGAATTGGTATTTAAGCATCAAAAAGCATTGGCTCCCAAAAAGGTTGAACTTAAACCATTTTTAGACTGAGACATAATGGGATGTAACCCGCAATTATGCGCCATTAACAAAATATTAATGGGATGTAACCCGCAATTATGCGCCATTAACAAAATATTAACCATCAAGCATGACCATCCAAACTTGGGCTTCTCTTGCTTAGATTCTATTTTTGCTGTAAAATGTCCGATTTTGTTGGTCAACTCAAATTAAATCCATGCGGGTTGGTCTGAGAATAAGGTGATCACCCTAAAATCACATGGATTATCATCCTCCACGCTTCAACTGGCCATTTACCGCCAAATATCATGTATTGGTTGTATATGTCCCTGATACTACCATTACAATCATTACATCCCCAATATTACCATCATATTGCCACTAAATAGCCCCATTACACCACAATTGTTGGTGAAATCGCTCATTATATCCAAATTATATGTAGGACCCCCAAAAAAATAGAAAAGTGAATCATCACTATTTTAGTCGGAACTCATTACTTTTCATTTTTTTCTAGCTTTTTAGGGCTTACTATATATATATATAATTATATATATATGGATGGTCCAGCGTTCCAACCCCCCTCCCCCCCCGCCATGGTCATGGGTCAGCCATAGTACTGTCCCCCTCCCCCCCCTGTGGTGTGGTGGGGGTGTGGTTATATCTATATATATACTGTATATATATATATATATGTTTATATATATATGTGTAAATATACATATATATATATGTATATGTATTAAATAAATAAATATATATATATATGTATATATATAAATAATATATATATATATAAATATGTATATATATATATTTGTATACATGTATACAATATATATATATATATGTGTTTTATATGTATGTATCGTATTGTATCGTATTGTATGGTATTGTATTGTATTGTATTGGTATTTGTATTTGTATTTGTATTTATATTGTATGGTACTGTATTGTATTGTATGTATGTATGTAAGTGTATAAATATAGATATATATATGTATATGAATAGATTTAAATATGTGTATATATATATGTATAAAGTATAAATATGTGAATATAAATATAAATATATATGTATATATTGATATATGTGTATATATATAGTTATTTATGTGTCTATAATAAATAAATAAATAAAAAATAAATAAATAAATAAATAAGTAAATATATATATAAAGGAAGTAGATACATAGCACATGTATATATAACTACAGGTAGCACGCAGGTACTTTGATGGAGTATGTGTGCTACGGAGGTCGTCTAAATGGTAGCATGTACCTAGTAAATGCGAGGCTGGTAGTCAGAATCGCTGCAAAAACCTAGCAAATACGAGGCTGGGCCTCAGAAATGCTGCCAATAGCTTGCAAATAGAAGGGACCGGGTGCTACCTGGGGACCCATACCATTGGGGGGGTAGGAACAAGGAACGAGACCACATATGTATATATATATATATACCCAGGTCAATGAAACCAAGAGGACCACCATGGCGGTGCTCCAAAGACCCCAGCCAGAGGTTTGATCGTCTGGCGAGGCGTCCGCCATGGTTGACTTGTCGCAGCACTGCCGCAGAGTCGAGTACCAAGGAGTAGTCATCTTTGACATATCCACACCCGCCCATTCCTACATCCATCAATCTCTTGAGAAATCGCAGGGTTAACTATCATCTCAGCTTGATGGAACGCTGTCAAATGATCAAGGTGCCTGATCATCAAAGACACTGGATGTGAGAACTGCCGACACCTCGAACCGCCAACAGGGCAAAAACCCCTTGTTTGAAGCGAATTACGTGCGCGAAGCACCGCCTGCGACCACTGCACTTGCGGCTCTGCTTTCCGCTTTGAGGGCCTTGGTCCTTGACTGATACCACTGATACCTCATCCAGATTGGATTTGCACTGCAGCCTGCATGGTCCGATCAGCACATTTTTTTGACATCGAACTCCCCCATCCCATTCCGAAGATCTAACCCGCCCCGCGGGCGCACCTGAAGAGACCTCCATGCGTCACGAAGACGGAATTGTTCACCAGCGATGCCAAGGGCAAGCTTACGAAGACCGTCTGAGCAGAGAAAAACCATCAAGCATGGGAATATGATAGTAATATATGGGGATGTGATGATTTCATATGATTTCAATGAGGATATAAGCTAAGAATGCTGATAGACAAGTGTTTCCACGATGGTAGTAGTTCGATTCGATGAGGTAAACACCTTGTATTTCTAGGTTTCCAGCTGTTTGCCATCCATCTATGGGGTTGCTATAAAATGAGTTTTTTCCAAAATCGGAATCCATAATTCATATAATTCCAAGAAGGGAGACTCATGCCGCCCTTGCATCATACTTGGAGCCCATGGATTGGAACTGGTTGTTCTGTTTTTGGGGTTAGCTTCTCCAGTTGGCCAGTTGTGGGGCCAGCAATCAGTGACTTATCCGCTGTTATGATAAAACCAGTTTTATGATTTCCAAGTACTCTCTGGTAATTTAACATAGCTATTGAAAAATCCCATTTATAGTTGATTTACCTATTCAAAATGGTGGATCTTTCCATAGCAAACTGTTAGTTTACCAGTATAGAGCCAGGGAGTCTTCCTTGCAACATACTCGTTGCGATTGCCTCATTGATCCGAGACATCCGGAGCCAGCTGGGCCGCTGGGCCGCTGGGCGACAAGCCCCTAAAATGGTCGCCGGGTGTACACCGGCGATCTGGACAATGCGATTTGGGCCGAAGGGCCTGATATTCTGTTGATCCAAGATGATCCAAGTATCATCGGAAAGTTGGCTCCACGCTTGAAGTATCCCATGTTCTCAAAAAAAATATGCCGGCATCCAATACAATTTCACGGAGTTCAGAAGGCTCTGGACTTTGGATGCGGATTGGCTGAGTTCTGCAACTGCTTCCCAGGTCTGATGGGTAATGCGGGCGTGAAACCAATGGAGGATTTGCGCACCAACAATAGGAAGGTCGGGTGGATTAATCAATGAGAATTGAATCTTGACAAACCAAAATTGGAATATATTATAGAACCAACAAAAAAAGATAAAACATATCTTAACGAGCAACAATAGGATGTTAAACAGCAAACCTAGGATTCAAAGCAGCCAAAACAGGATCCTAATCAGCAAAAAACATTTTTTACCAGCAAACATTCCATGTTCACTGCCTGCCAACTACCCCACCTCTTCCGGAAGTATCAACAAAAATTGCAATCTACTGTACCCAAAAATGGTGAACAACCACAATGATGGTTTAACCAACATTGACAGCGGTTTACAAAGCCGTGCCAGCACAAGATAGCATAGGGAGTTACCCACACAATCACCTACACAATCAAATTCGGACTTACTCAGCAAAAAAGAGGTGATTAAGGACACACTTACCAAGAACAATCAAGAACTATCCAAAAACAAAAATATGGACCTTGCGCAAGAACACATTGCAATGTCACGTTAGGATTGATCAACCTGATATATGTGGGGGTACCGTTTATACTGGATTTTCTCCACCCCGTTGATAAGTGAGGTTTTATCAAGCTGGGGTTGACACTATTCAAGGTATCTTGTGGTAATCAAAGAACACACATATATATAACCATATATAATCATAATCATATATATATACATAGAATTAAACATATACACTGTGCATGATTACAATTCCTAGAAGCCCCTGCAAGCATTAACAAAACCCACAGGCACAATTGTCAAAAAACATGTCTTGTTGTACCTGGGACCCATGGGGATCCCGGATGAATCAATGTGAGGATGGGCTAAAACTCTAACCTATAAATCCCATCTTTGGGGTGATAAATGTCTGTTTCAAAAACCTGCAAGCCATTTTGATGCCCACCATGGTACGCTTTCGACATGGAACCGTAGCCATAAATTGTTGATTGGTGATGTCATTATTTCCATTAAATCTCAACTGAATATCCATAAAAAAATCCTCAGTACATCCCATGGAAATCCAATTCCAATCCCATTCAATCTTACAAACTCCCATTAAATCCCAAAAAATCCCATCTAAATCCCAATCAAATCCCAATCAAACCCCATCTAAATCCCAATCAAGTCCCATCTAAATCAAAAAAACAATCTAAATCCCAATAAAATCCCAGTAAAATCCCAATAAAAATCACCATGAAATAATCCCACGGCACCTGGAAAGCATCGAAGATTCTGCGGGGATATTTCTGTAGAGCCTCCTCCTCGAAGCCGTAGTTCCTGCCGACAAAACCCGGGGATACCATGGGCAGTGAGGAAACCCACTGGTTGGTAATGGCTGGTTAGTAAGTCATATATATATATAATGTATACTATATTCTAATATATTCTATACATATATATATATATATAGTAACTTAGGGCGTTAGGGTCGCTAAGTGTGAAACAATAGATACTGCTACATCCCAGTTATGAGTTATACATATATATATATATATGTATCCATATATGGCATATGCACATCCAAGTATGGCCAATCTTTGATACCATGCGTTTTAAGTTTTAAAGTTGACAGGTCAAGCACTTGACCAAGGTGTAGCCAAAGGGTCACCTATCCCTTGGTGATTTCCTGGAAAAGCTCATGGATTCATGGACCCTGAATACCCTGAAGACTGGATCCGTGGGATTTGTCAAGTGACCTGGCTCTGGTTCCCTACCACTGCCACCTGGACCTATTGGGCAGATTCAACAAACATCAAGCAGACCCTTAAGTCCTACTTGGATGTGCAACCCAGCTGCGTGGTGAATCACAACAGCTGATAAACCACAATTGGATAAGCTATGATGAACTGGATAATCCGAGCTGCATATTACAGGAAGTTGTTTAACCACTTGCAAATGGGGACCCCAACATCCTAGTACACCAAGAAATCAAAGTGCGCTTTATGCAGATTTATACAGATTTAACAAAGTCTTCACTGAAGGTTCACTCTTACCGCCCCACACTTGCCTGCTCATATACGCAAACTCGTGGTTTCCACGGTTCCTAAACCATCCCAGGAGCCAACCATGACTGGGGGTCATGGTACCCGGCCTGGTAAATGAACAGGAATGGACCCTGAAAATCACCAAGTGCTAGAGGAAACTAATCTTCCAACCCCGATGAATGCCAGGGTCTATGTTAATTTACTGGAGGGTATACTGAATAAACCTATCGAATTGGGTTTACTTCACTACGCAGATTATCGCTTGGTTTTTTTTTGTGTTTCCGCCTCCTGGAAAATGCGGGGATGATGGTCACAAACAGGAGGATAAAATACACACATAGTGGGCATAGCTGAAATCTGCAGTTTTGAATCTCCACTGATTTTCTCAGTTCTTATTGAAACCATTCTGACTTCGGGTCTGCATCTTTGAGAAAGCACCGCATCATCAAAGTATCACTTTGAACATGGACGCGTGGTTGCTACTGATCATCCAAGATGGCAACTGATAGGCCATGACTGGAGGCCCCTAAAAAAAAACATAAAGCCCCGTTGACGCGCGAACCAGACTTACTCAGAATAGACCCAGTTCGCATTTGCTGAGCAACCCACAAAAATCTACAAAAGGAAAGGGACAAAGGGAACGGGGGTTAGGGTCTCATTGGCGTACCTGAACTTCAAAAACATACCTTGCCTTTACTCAGTCTCTCCTGTCGACTAAACATACATTATATACACAATGAATACACAATGAACGGCTCCATTCAACCCATCGACCCACAAACCATACTATGAAGGTGCATTACAGTAAGTTTGTAATGGACAGGAGGTTCTGAACATTATGTATGTGTACATATATACGTACGTGTATATATATATATAAACCATATGAAACTCTTATACATATACCTTTTATGAGCTTGTGCAGGCTGTAGTTTTCAACCATTTCTAAGTGGTTATGTCAAGCTTGCACATTCCTCAGGAGTCACAAATTCAAAAATACACAAGTCAAACGCAATCAACGAATCGTTGGGTCATGTTGGGTCTATCTTTTTCTGGACCCTGTACAGGCTCCACAAAAAATCACATCAATTCACTCAACATTTGCTGGTGATATGATACCATTTGCCGTTCATTTGGGGTTGTCTCAAATCAAATTTCCACGGCTTACTATTCATTTTCCCATTACATAAAAGCTATAGTTTGTAGACCAATCCCCGATCTTCAGACAAACCCGTAATTAGGTATATATATATACATATGTTTAATACATCCAGTCACTACCAATCATATGTTTTTCTCAAGATCACTTGAATCAGCATGTATAATTATCAATCACAACCTTGTTTTATCATCGTTTTTCTATTCAATGGTCATTTTGGGGAAATACTACCCCATCTTGAGACACAACCTCACTTCACCTGAACCAACTCGAGATCCAAAAAACAACAAATCCAAGTCACAGGAAGACTCGACCGGGTGCGAAGAGGGCCATGGACAGCAGGGCCAGCATCACCTACAGCAGGGATATGCATCTAAGCATCACACATAGAGGATTTACGTAACCAATTTCACAGTTAGGATCTGACCATGCAACACTTGGCTTTCGATGATATAACCTGGGGTCCTTTCGCAAACTCTAGGATTATTCAGAAATCACAACTACCCTATACCACTAAAGACTTGAGACTATCACCAGAAAACCATAGGCTGCGAACTAACCAGCTTGGGGATAGCAAAAAAACATCTATACCATATCAATACCTATATCTACATCTACCTACTAACTGAGTATCTGAATATTAACTTATTATAGCTGATTTATAGCGTGGTCACAAGCGTCAAAAGTCCCCGATTCCATCACCCCGCATATCGGATCCAGGATGATTCAGCAAAGATGTCACGGTGATCATCTTGGTTGAGCAGCCCACAAAACCAAGCCGGCAAGCCTGCTATAGTGGTGAATTAACTAGGGGTATATTCATGATGTATATTCTACGTTTTGTATCCAAACCAAGGTACCTGGTCAACACCCACCAAATGTACGGAAAAATATGGAACAAAAGTGGGTGGCAGGACGTACCCACACATCAGCAGGACGACAGCGATCGGACAAAACCCCGGGTGCTTCAACGACAGGTCGTACCTGGGCCCGTCTCACCCTTCCCGCCGAAGGGTGGCCACGGGTACCGTCCTAGGATTTTTGTATCACATGCAAGCCCCTCCTGCAGGCTATTTGCATCAAACGTCCTCCCATACCGTAATATGATCTCCTGCAGAGAGCCTTCGCGGTTTCTATAAAGTGAGTTCCAGAGTTGAGGGACCTCGACACTGACATGGAGTTCCACTAGCCGACCGGATGTTCAGCCTCGTCCCCAACCCGACTCGCTCGTTCGAGAGCTATGCAGACACTCGAAGGCTCACGGAATGCAAAGTGGGCATGGACCCGCGGCCTGTCGTGAAGTGAAACAATTTCTCGCAAACACTGCTTCTGCTCCAGCCTCGTGAAACCCCACTGTTGCTCAAGCACGTTAGGAGTTGGTATATAATATATAATTGGTAAAGTCCAATTTCAAAGACCAGCTTAAATACGCCGACGGTTTCCCACAAAGAATGGCCAGTCATGGCCAGTCCAAATTAATTGAATCATGCAGGTGATCGTGGATGGTTACTACAATACGTTGGTTTCATTGGGTTTTGGGCATCCATCTATGTAAGGTGAGCAGGATTTGGTAAAGCCACTCATAAACCATACCTAGTTTTGCTATGCTTCAGTTCGAAATAAACCCTGGTGAATTTTAAGATGGGTTTCAGTATTGAGTATAGAATATATATATATGATTATACATGTATATATATATATATATAATTATATATACTGTATCTATGTACATATTGCAATAACCTAGCTATGAATAATAAAACCTCCGCGAGAACCACTCTGTCGTCACCATGAAGCCCGCCACAACCAGCCAGAAAACAACCGTTCCGTGGATGTCACACCTCCACAGAGCGCCCGCCACGGTCCACGAAATCGCCATTGAAGAGAAACCTGCATCATCAACAACCATCAAATACACTAAAGTACATATGTATATATATATATCATCTATAATATTATACATATCAATATCTATATATAGTTTTAACAGTGTATCATATATACATGATACATGTATATCATATACATGACATGTACCGAGCATTCGGGAATTGGCATCCAGGATTGCACCAACTGATGGAGGCTTCTCCGAAAATGTGAGATTGTCAGCCTATGTCGCATAACATTGCTTACTCTAGACCTTACGCTATGCTGACGGGACCACAGTTTTGACTTATGCGGCAGGCATGTGCATAGAATGCCGCACGCGAAGCTTACGCTGACAGGTTTGACTTAAAACGCATGGGAACTGCTTACGTCAGAGGCATGAAACAGCTTACGCCAGAGCCTACGCATGGTATTTTGCAAAAGTGGGTTACGCCACCTTGCGAAAGCCAGGGTTTTGCTTACGCGACCCAATCATATGACACAACTCTTGTTAAAGTGTCTTCAAGGGGTCAAGGGGACGATGCGAAACTGGTGCATCACCAACAGAAATGCTGCTGGAATTTCATGGGGATTTGAGCAGCGAACATGAAGGCTTTAACCAAGAGAAATTGGGAGCAATCTGGCAAACAAATGGACTTTCAAGCAATAATATGTGGTAAATTATGGTAATTCTAATAAGCCATCAAAATCAAAATAGTTGCTATAACTGAATTACTGATGATTAGTTACTATATCCGAAATTCACTGCAGGTGATCACTAAATCAACGTGTATATCCTTAATCCAAAATCAATTGCCTTTGCAGTTGCTAATCATGGATCCTATCTCCAACCAGTTGCTGTTGATTTCAAATTTATCTACACAACTGCAGCCCACATGCGTGGTCTGATAATCTGATACACATACATACATATACATAAATACATAAATATACACACACACAAGTCATGTATACATATATGTATATCCATTCACACTAGGTTTCACTCCCAAGTCCCCAGTTCCAGTTCAGAACCAGTCAGGATCACGACTTGGCCCATCTCCGTGCTGCAGTTCCCCGAGCCAAATCATCGAACTAAATGGGCCATGGCTACCATAGCTACTGTAAGAAATTACTAATGGCTAACACTTATTTTTTGTCATATCCCCATGGGTATTTTACTATGTGATACAAGGCCAAGGGTAGCCAATGATTTAATCTATTGAGTGCCCCTTGTTAAGCTTATCTTTGTTTTACATTACATACCCCTCATGTGTCTTTGGCGTGATGTGGGATACCACTCATGCTCCCCCACAAGAAGTGGAAGACAATGAACCAATGAATAACGGCCTCGCTTGAGCAACGGAATCTAATCCATGTCATGTATCTCTTTTTGCATCTTCTGTTGATCAACATCCTAATGATCCCTATCATTATTCCATTATAAATATATATATATACACCAACATTTTTGTTGGTTAAATCTCCATGATCATCCCACTAATGCTCCGTATTTTTTGGATCTTAACATATTTTAACCAGATCTACACCATTCCCATGCAGCAGCCCAGTTTCCAACCATCCAAGTTACATATTCTTCTCGCTGGGCAAACCACCTCGCTGGTCAGCGCGCTAAGGAAAGATCAGGGGCATAGGCATGGGCTGTTGAAGTATATGTTTGTGGCCATTTCCATTGGTCAACATTTCACGTTCTTCGCAACATTTCCCGTTCAAACGTTGTAATACCCCGGGTCTTGCTGTTTTTTCTGCATTTTTCTTTGTTTCCATCCCCATTTTCGTTGCTAAAATTCACCTAGGTTCGTCTGAAAGTAGGGTACCCACCCAAAATCCTCTGGTTTACCACAATGGTCCATATGAACTGGCTATTTGAGTTGTATCCATCATTGTCAGACACATTCAAACATCATATCATCATATATCATATATATATATCCCCCTTTTATCACCACTATATCGGCAATATTTCCATCATATCCCCATGTTATCACACTGAATTTAGGTTGAATCCCCCATTGTTTTCCCCGTTTCTGCTTCTGGAAACAAAAACAAGACACAGCCGCTGAGCACCGTCATCAGCTCACAGAACTGGCCGTGCAAGTCGCCCACAACGTGCAGAGTCGCTGCGGCGGGCACCTTCAGATGCCCCAAGAGGGTCATAACTGGGGAAAAACTCAATTCCTGTATATATAATATCTATACATGTTGAATATATATATATATGTTGAATATTATATATATATATAAATGTTTAATATATATATATACATGTTTAATGTATATATATATATGTTTAAAATATATATATTTACATGTTTAATATCTATATATACATATGTTTAATATCTATATATATACATATGTTTAATATATATATATATACACATACATGCATGTTTAATATATACAGAATTACATTATATATATATGCAAATATTATACCTTCATGGTGTCTTGTATATGTGTATTTGTATTTGTATCGATATTGGTATTAGTACTGGTGTGTAGGTATTCGTATTCGTATGGTATTGCATTGCATTTGCATGTGTATTTGCATGTGTACTTGCATTGTATTGTATTTTATTGTGTTGTAGTGTAGTGTATTGTTGTATGTATGTATGTATGTATTTATGTATGTATGTATGTATGTATGTATGTGTGTGTATGTATGTATGTATGTTTGTATGTATGTATGTATGTATGTATTTATGTATGTATGTATGTATGTATGTATGGGGTTGGATACGATAGAATGGGATAGGAAAGATACAGTAGATATAGATGTACACAACCGATGTGTGTATATATATATATACACAATATTACAGAGATCTTATATTAAACTCCCTTCCTGACTGGCCGATTCGCCATCTTTAGTCACGTTGCGGGAGTTTTACCGAGCAAGATGGGGACTTGATCAAAAAAATGGAATGAACACCTCCAGGACTTCTATCCAACTGAAGTAATAAATCATCCGTGGTAAGTGAGGTGCAAACCTCTTACAACTCCAATATACCGTGGGATATATGAAGCTTTTGCCACCCAACAGCCACGATTGTTTGGGGCTAATCAAGGCCTAACAAACGGGTATCAGAAATTCTGGCTGGTTCCAGCCAAGTTTTTTACATTTATAGCGATTAGATCGCGATTTCTCAGCATCACTGGGACATCTTGGTATTTACCCCCGTTACTCATCTCTGTTGAATCCCTAAACAGCATTCCCATGACAACTGATCCTCGGTACCATCAAAAAACCCTGAACTTCAGCCAGATATCATGTGTCCAACCAAAACTGAAAAACGAACCAACCATTCACCAGTTGATTCACCAGTTGATTCACCAGTAAATACCGCCAACATGTATATTAAGTATATATGATAATCTGTATAGACTTAATTCTTCAACCTGAATTGAGATGATTCGGACGGGCTCCCCTCAGCCCGTTGATTCACGCCATGTTCTTGGATTTGCTTAAGGCCATGAAGGAAATAAATATATTCTCATTAATGGTGCATTATGCACCAGTGGGGAAATACATTAAAATAGACTAAAATCAACTTCAGCAAATCCAGGGTTTCTGTTGGTTCAACCAAATTTCTTGCTTGTCCAAAAAACCATTTAACGCATATCCACCTTGGACAGACTATATACATCAGGGGTTGGTAAGTCTTCCGGGTGGTGTAGCCAAATTACCAAATGTCTCAAACTAGGAACACACCCGGTTTCCAATACTTTTGGGATGATTCCCCTTGCGAACCATCTTCTATCATGAGCTCGACCGGTAGTGTTTCTGTAATTTGAAAAGATAAAACATCCCATATATATATAATATATATATATCATGTTCGTCAAACACAAAAACATCCCACCGGCGGGAAACCATACGTGGAGTTCAGTGGATTTTGAATCGAGATAGTTTTGTGCCAGTCCAGGCAAATGAGCGGGCGTTCCGCCGATCGTCCTCAGCAGCGTTCTGAGGCTGGACTTTGCCTTCGACTCCGCAGGTGCCAAAATCTCCGGCTTAGGCAATGCCTTTGGAGTCGCCTAAGACAATGACAGCTGCCTCCCTGCACTTCCAACCCAAGGCGCGCCACCAGTCTTCCACATATGGAAATCCTGATTTTGTTCACATCTTTCAATGATTATTAATGCTCAGCATACCTGCGAATTCCACTGCGTTCTGGGAAAATGGTGGATTTTCCATCATTTTAAGGCGATGTTGCATGTCTTTCTCCTTTCTGGGATGTCTTTAAAAACCGACAAATATAAGATCACCATTTTGGGGCATTTAAGTGGGCATGGCTGTAAACTTTGCCGTTACAAGATCTTGGCACCGTTTTTCTTCACAGTTGTTTCACAGCTTTTGCTGTTGGCTTGCACATGGGGTTCTTGGCTGTCTGTGCGCCAGAATCTCCATTGAAACATCCTAATATGTTGAATCAGACAAATATAGCGGAGTGATGCGGAGTGCATGTTAGATCAGAAGGAGAAGTTCCCAGATAGTATAAACGTAGGCTTTTCAGCAGTTGCAAAAGAACATGTTGCTTAGTAAAACTATGTAAGACTCATAATTAGGTTTCTGGTTAACCTTCCACTTGTTGCTGTTTATAAATCTCATTCTCCCTTGCTTAAATTCACTTTCTTTGTTTGTTAATGTTCGGTGTATGTGTATATTTAAAAATAAATAAATGTATATCTATAATTATATATATATATATACCCGCCGACCCTTGCCTAGCATTGGCCTAGGCGGAGCGGCGCCCGGGATCACCGCAGGTGTGCGACATCTCCAAACATGTTACATATCCATACTCACTGTTTCTATACGGGATCGAAACTGCCATGTGGCCATTCGAAACTGCCATGTGGCACGTTTCGGCACCGCGTTAGGCCCCGTTGCCACGGCTGCAACGCTGCAACCCAAGCCGCAGCACGCTGCCTAAACAAGCCCTTCACTGTTTCTATAGCGGTTCGAAACTGCCATGTGGCACGTTTCGCACATCCCTCAACCCCGCATAAAAGGGGGTTCGGCGGCACCTGGGCGACAGCCTATTCTAAATATATATATATATTATATATATATATATAATAATAGTAATAAAAATAATCCCCTATTTTTTGCTGGCTAAATTTAAATCCACATCATCGGTGGGTTTGTCCCAAACTAGGCTACCTACCCGGCCTACCCCATTCCATCCACTGCCTGAATCTGAACCAAGGTGGGCAGCTCCCAGAAATGCTTGGCTGCGTCCTCAGATGCGGTCAATTGGGATGATCAAACAAGGTAGGATTGAGAAATCACGGTTTATTTGACCCAAACAATTTAGATCTTGAGCATGACTGAAGAATGGGGATTTCAACTGAAAGACAGGTTTGAAGCACCAAAGTGAGGATTTAACCAGGCAAGATGGAAGTTCCTGTAAGGAAAAAACTGGGACATGAATCAAAGACATTAGGATTCGAACACATGCTTCAATGTCAAAAGATGAGTGATTTTCACAAGCAAAACTTGGGATGAGTTCTGAAAACTGTGATTTCAACAAATGAAAATCCACGGACAAGGGACACACATTTGACCAACATAAAGGGGGATGACGCCAACACAATGAGTATTTGATCAAAACATATCAAAACATATCAAGACAAAAATGAAGACTGCACCAGCCAAAAAAGAACGAAAGCCTCCAAAATTGTGGCTATGCGGTGTTATGCGCGCTACAGTCAGACTGGTTTTGCCTCACCTAGTGATCCCAGGTTCCCCAGGTTTGCTTGGCTATTGGGCAAACCATCCCATGAATGATTCAGCCGGAACTCATCATACCCTTACCTTGATTGTAACGCAATGACCCAGATCTCGCGGTCAATGACCCTCTGGCAATCCAACATCGTTCGGAAAGACCCCTCATTCATCTCAATCTACACATGAACTATGTGATTTCACCAGCTTTAAAATGATTATTTGATTCACCCATTTCCAGCTTTGTCTATGGGGGGGAGCAGAAAAACCTGCACTAGCCAACCCACCGACAGAAAGCTGTGCATAACAGAATCCAATTTTTCACTCTCCAAACAGGTGATGCAACCAAGACCGCAACGGTCCCCAACAACTCAACGGTCGACATTGGGACGGTACCCTCCTCTCCCTGAATGACTCATGGCTGTTTTGAGACCGACGAAGATCAAAAGCGGTTGTGATAAAGCTCAAAATCCACAAAACAAGAAGAACACAATAAATTAGCAAATCAAAACAAACCGATTTCACTTAAGTTGTTTCTCTTTGGACCTTTTTTTTTTGGTTTTTTTCTGGCAGTGCAACGGTCCGCTTTTAGCGCCGCTAAGCGACCCTCAAGAGTTGACATGCATCCTCCTGGCGCTGGCCATGCTGGCCAGGGCAAATGACGAACAGGAAGCTGGCCATGGAAAGATCCCCATGCTATTAAGAGGTAAACCCAGGTACCCTCTGGTAAACTAACATGGCTATGGAAAATCACCATCTTTAATAGGTAAATCAACTATAAATAGGCAATTTCCAATAGCTATGTTAAATTACCAGAGGGTAAACCATCTATTTCTATGGGCCATGGCTTCCATGGCGAAGTGTTAAATAGCCAGAGGGTAATTTTTACGAGGATGTCACATGTGTCATAATTGAAAAAAGGTGGCTTCCCTGAAAATAAAATTCAGTGACTATGCCTAGATTCATTTCACAGCAAACATGCTGATTTCAGCAAGCCATTTGGACAATCTCCAAGATTTGGAGGCGTTTTTCAATGAGGCCCACCTATCGCATTTCCTAAAAAGGCCCAACCTTTCCTATATCCTCCGGTAATTTAGCAGTTTTAATGGGTGAATCATCAAGAAATGGGCTATTTTCTCCGTAACTATGTTAAATTAACGGAGGGTTTACCTTCTAAGCATGTCATTGTTCTAAGCATATTATGAGGTATCCTTCCAACGACATGAGCCATGAAACCTTACCATTGGCCATTGGTTCACAGAAATATCTGGAGTGTCTCTGTATTCATGGGTATAGTTGACTTCATCACATTTGAAGGTGAACAACATGCATCTGTGTATATATATATATCATGTATAATATAATCATGACCTCTAAATATTTATGTTACACATCTGCACGTTGCACGCATTTTAATAACATGTCAAGGTATATATATATTATTATATATACTATTATATATATACTATTATATACATCTATACATCTCATATTATATATACATATCATTATATATCATCATAGAACTACATCGCAGTTCAGTTGATATTAGACGTGATATCTCAGTGCGCCTCAGGCGGCAGGTGACCATCTGCAAGGGCATCCAGGAAACTTTGCAATGCCTGCCGTGGGGTGTGAGCGCAGAAAGGACACCAAAAGGATTTTCTGCAAATGACATTTGAAAACTTAATTCAACCTAATGTTAATGACATTAAATAATTTTACATTTGAATGACAGTAGGTTAAGTAAACTAATTTTAGTTAATTTGAGTTGGTCTAGTTTAGTAAGCCTACTGTAACCACCAAAAGGACTAATACAGAAGTGACTAATCCAAGAAGGATCAAGAAGGTGTTTTCCAATGCTCCAATGGTTTGAAGGTTACGCTGATCTAGTGAGGGACCCTGACAATGTACCAAAAAAAATGTTTCAGAAGTGAAGGGAAAACATGGGGAAAACATGGAAAACATGCTTTTTTTTGGGATCCCCCTTTTGAGAAGCACCCTTATATCACTTAGTATTTTACCATACTCGATACTTGCAGGTGCTTATCAACCACTTGCTAACCTACTAACCAGTACTGGGATTCTATGTTCAAAGACACAGGGGAACTAGCTATTTTTAGGATTTTACAAGACTGAAATGATCGTGCGAGTAACGGGATTGGGTTTGTTCATGCCTAAGAAAACGGATGCAACTAGTGGGCTACTACTCAGTAACAATCACCATCCAAACTTGAGGAATTCTCCAAGTTGACATCAACTTGGTATTTGTCATGCATGATCCTTATTGGATGAAGTTGACAGTAGTCCGGTCCTTTGATTTTCAATTAACTTTCTTTCACTGCCTGACTGATCTATTCACGAGTTCCTGCCATCTGTGACGTATGCATATGGTCCATACATAAGAATACGATCTCTATTTTGCTGTTTCTGCAATTCCTCTTGAGTTGAACTTTGACTAAATATATATATAAATATACACATATTATATATATATATATTATATAATGTGTTTTCCTCGGAATGGGGCTTCGCAACAGGTTCTGGGCAACAAGAAATTTCACAAGGCGTAATTGTCCAGTGCCGTTGTTCGAGGTGGCAGTCAGCTTCAGCTGCTGGTAATTCCGTCATTGCTGTGATTTCCCTAATTGTGTTTTTTGGGATTTATTGGGTAAACCCTCGATCATTCGTGGATATACCGATATACTCCATCATCCAGCATGAACCCTAGATGCAAGCTGAGGCGTCTTCTTGTGTCTTTGCATCTGCAAAGAAGAACAAGTAAAATACTTTCCTACAATATCAAATGTTCTCAGCAGACCCGCAGATCAAACTGTGTAATGAACCCTAAGGGCACATTCGATTTGCAGCCAGGTCGTTAAACTATCTATCCAAGGAAAACTGGGACAATGGACTGTCTATTGTCAAATACCACCCTCCCAAGGGCCAAAGTACACGCTCTTTCAGCTCCAGACACATTCCGATATGGTACCTGTAACTAGACTCTGGTCAAAGAATTATGTCAACGGAACCCTCCATGCACAAATCAACGGGCCAGTACGGGTCAAAATAAACAAATCCATCAGGGAATCAGTCACGTGGCTGGAGAATCCCCTTGTTCGTTTCGTTCAGGGATGGCCCAGGATTAACTGAGCATACACAACCGTCCCAATCTCCTGCACCAAGAACTGCCGCCTGCGACGATGGTCGTTCGCCCGAGTGCAGAAACCCCTGCAGCGCTATTGAGGTGATAAGCGGGATGCTCATCCTGGAGACGTGGAACACATGACATACACAATCAGATATAGTAAAACTACATAAA